CTTACAGAACAAGTAATGCACGTAGAGCGTGAGTGCAGTCCGGCTTTGGCCGAGTTCAACACTTAATAACACGACTTTTTGAAACAACTGTAACACAACTATGGGAAGTCAGCATCTCTGTGTGAGTGTATGTGTGTGTGACAAAGAGAGAGAGAGGGAGAGAGAGAAAGAGAGAGAGAGAGAGAGAGAAAGAGAGAGAGAGAGAGAGAGTTTGTGCGTGTATGTGTGTAGAAAATTGTTTAATGGTTTTAAGAATCCAGTTTTTTAACCGACACTCGGGATTTTCCAATGCATTCCCCCAAATGTTTCCAGAGAAAATGCATTTGTAGGTGGCGTTGTGATGCTTTGATCAATCACTACATATGTTTATAGACCTATATACATATACATTTTTTTTTAAAATTCCCCTTATTATTATCATCTTTTTAATTTTAATTTTTTGTTTTTTTGTGGTTTTTTTTGGTAATGGAAAACAAATGTTCACTCTTAGGACTTTGGTTTTTAAACCACTTGTCAGTTCTTACATTACTATACGTAAGATCGAGAACAGCATTTGAAATCTAGATCACAAACCCCAAGCACCTCTGACCTTTGAAACAGTTCAACACCAATTCTTGGCGAATTTTGTCATCAATGACAAGACTGCGACAATGCGAGCTTTACTACCCTCAAAATTGGCATATGATATCTGTACAGCAGTATACTGGCCGGATAAAAAAAAAAAAACGCAACCACATATTTCATTCCAAGCTGAAATCATCAAGTCTTTGTAAGGTTAGAAATCAGCACAAGGTACCTGTTTTTTATCCTTCACGATGCACTAGCCAATATTCCCGGCGTTGCACAGATTGCATTTGAAAAAAAACATCAACTTCTTCGGTATTTTTTTGTTTCTTTTTTCCGATGGCATTCCGTTTCCCGGAGCTATATCGACCCTGTTTGGATAACGATACCGTTTTGATCGTAATCCCTGTGGGATCCCATACCCGATGAAATCCCGTAAGGCGTTGGGGTCCAATACCCGGTGATACCGTTTCCTAGTGTGGTCCCGATTCCGGTGGGATCTTATTTTTCAGGTAAGATTGCAGTACCGGTAAGAACCAGATCCCAGTGGGTGCAGCTCACTGTTAGCTCGCCTTCCCCATTAGGATTCTGTTCCTCTGTTGGATCATGTTCCCAATGGAATTTTGTTCACGGTAGAATATTGAAAGTTGTGTTTATAGAAAATCCCCATGAAAGTATAGAACAACTGAATATAAATCAACCAACATTTCATTCAACTTTTAGATTCCATTATATATCCCTGTATAACAATATATATATAACTTTCTGGAACTTCAAGATTAAGTTTAACTAAATTCACTACTATTACTATAATACATTTAAGTTGAAAGAGGAGCCCTGGCGGGGGCTCATTCCATAATCGTACCGATTTAGTTTTGCCTGATATAGTGGGCCCTATAAAAATCTGTCGGATAAAAAATAAAGTTAAAATTTAAAAGATGTCCAATTAAAATAAGCTTATAATTACCATAGGTAAAGCTTTTTTAAATTATCGTACATTATGGAAAAGTCTAGATCGGCCCTGAATTTATTGGATAGCATTCATTTTAAATCAACCAATATTTCCATATGAACTATGAAAGGTATTGCTACAAAGCTAGGCCTATATCAATAAATTCACATAATCCCTTCTTCTTCTTCTATATCTTAAGGGCCCATTTATTGAACATTTTGGCTCCTATGCATGTAGATGGGATTTGCAATGTTTCTGTTCCTGGTGTTGATGAGGAAATTTCACTGATTTCCAGGGCCACTTTGTGAGGAAATCATGCACTGTGTGGTTTGAATGCTTGAGGCAATAGACACAAATGTGTCTAGTGTTGTCGCCTCAACCGTTCCTTTTGAAAGCTTGTTCAAGTCCCTTATTGTCTTGGGCAGGAATGAGCAGCTCCTATACTGGCTTCTTGCTGGTATGAGCCTGAATTGCCTGTCATGGCCTCGTCGCTGTCTATGAGGGAGAGGGACGAGTTTCTGTTTAATACTGGAACAGTGGACCAGCCCATTATTTATCTTGTAAATCATGGAGAGCCTGGATTGTCGTCGTCGTTTCTCCAATGGTGACCAGCCTAGTGTTTCTAGCATGCTGCCAACACTAGAGGTATTCCTGTAGCGGTTTAGGACAAAACGTGCTGCTCGTCGCTGGACCGCCTCCAACCTGTCTTACGAGAAGACCCATTTACCCTCCCAGACTGAAGATGCATAATCTAAAATCGGACGGATAAAGGCTTTATATGCTCTTTCTTTCACACAGGAGTTGCCAATCTTTAGATTTCGCCTTAAGAACCCCAGGGTCTTGTTTGCTTGGTTACATACATTGTTAATATGCTCGTCCCAGCGGACCTCTCTTTGAATGGTAACACCCAGGTACTTTACGGAGGAAACTGGCTCAAGTATATGGCCGTGCAGTTCGTATTGGTAGTGTAGAGGAGTACAACTTCTAGAGACTGATAGTGTCTAGCACTTGACTGGTTGAAATTCCATGTCCCAGCTTTTTCTCCAACTCAGCTAACAGATTGAGATCCTGTTGTAGCTGGTCCTGGTCAGATAGTCCTATACACTGCTGTGTCCACTGCGAACAGTCTTGCTTGTGATATCAGTTTCTCGGGTAGGTCATTAATGTATGCTAGGAATAAACAGGGGCCCAGCACTGATCCATGGGGGACCTCTGACTTCACATCGACAAAGGAGGAGCTTGTACCGTCCACCACTACTGCTTGGCGTCGGTGGCTGAGGAAGCTAGAGATCCATGTTTTAGTGGTGCCTTGGATCCCATGTCTCTGGAGTTTGTGTAGAAGCAAACTATGATTCACACGGTCAAATGCCTTTGCGAAGTCCATTACCAGCACGTCAGTCTGCTTGTGGTTCTCCAGATTGGTCATCAGGTCTTCTACAAATTCAAGAAGCTGGGTCTCACATGATCTATTGACTCGGGAGCCATGTTGACAGTCATTGAGTATATTGTTTTTAAGCCTATTGATATTTATATACCTTATATGGGGGAAATGAAATGGGGCCTGGAGGAATGGATATTATTAGTTCAGTACCCTTCGATATTTGAAAATGGATAATCAAGTGTATGTGTACTAAGTTTTGTCAAGATCCATCTACTTATGTGTAGGAGTATTTGTTGGCCATATTATTTATATAGCTCATTTATATAGGAAAAAAAAAAGAAACATTTTACACCCAGCCTCGAAAAGGAATGTAAAAAAAATATTTATACCCTCCTCCCCCACTCCCCCCCACCCAAGATATCCTTAAGGAAAATGATGGATAGATGTTCCAAGTTTGTTCTTTGGTCACGATCCATCAATCCTAATAGAAACTTATGTCGAACAAGCACACACACACAACAATAGTCACTTCTAAATATATAAGATCAAGAAAGAATGAATTATCTTATTTTAACTGTGTGAGTAGTGCTATGTGTGCGTTGTGCTTTGTGTGTGTGTGTGGTGTGTCCGTAGTATGTGTGTGTGTTTTTATGGTGCGTCTGTATGTGTTTTTTTTATGTGTATGTTGCGGTATATTTTGGCTGTGTGTTTTGGATATATGTGTGGGTTAAGGGGCTTGCATGCTTCTGAGGTGTTGTTGTTGTGTGTGTGTGAGGGGGGTGTGAATATGTGAGTGTGTACGAAAGCTACAGTGCAACAGCCTTTTGGTCGTACAATATTAATAAATCATTAAAGTCTGAGACGATGTCCATCTCAGAGTGACACTCATCTGGTCCATTAAATAGTATCCTAAAATTGTTTAATGAAGTATTGTGCGTACAATGTTGAATAAATTCGTATAGCATGTGTGTTGGGATATTTTTTAAGAAATGAATCTTTCTGACAATCAGAGTCAAATCAGTATTTGAAATATATTGGTAAAGATCTATCACAACCAACGCATGTGTTGATGTAGTTTCATGTGTGGGTTTTTTTACTTGACTAAATACTTTGAAACAAAAATAGCGTATGGCTGAGATGAAACTGTTTTCAGTGCCTCAACAGATTATAGACGTGTCCAAAATAACGTTTATTTCAGGGAATTCCCTAGGCTTCTAATAGCTACTTGTCTGTACAGTTTTTTTTTTTCTCTTTTCTTGATTCATTCTTTGGCTCATGAGACCATGTGTAGAGAACCTTAAAAGATTAACACTCACCCCCCCCCCCACTCCTTTCCTTCGCGGCTTTTTTTTATATTTATTTGCATTGGAAACCAACAAAAAACGCCCCTCACCCCTTTTTAGTTTTTTTTTTTCTCTTTTCTTGATTCATTCTTTGGCTCATGAGACCATGTGTAGAGAACCTTAAAAGATTAACACTCACCCCCCCCCCCACTCCTTTCCTTCGAGGCTTTTTTTTATATTTATTTGAAGTGGAAACACACAAAAAACGCCCCTCACCCCTTTTTTCGTTCAATTTCGCTGAGATATCGAGATTATAATTCATCGTTACTTGAAACGATGTGTATTAGCTGGTATTATCCATTTTAATGTATGTGTCTTTGTTGTGATTATTCCTTTTACTATACGTGTATTAGTTTTTATAATCCATTATGATGTAGGTGCTTTATTATTATTATCCATCTAACTGTATGTGTATTAGTTTTTATTATCCATTATACTGTACGTTTATTAAGTTGTTATTATCCACTTCACTGTTTGCGTTTTAATTGCTATTATCCATTATACTGTATGCGTATTAATTTGTATTATCCACTGTACTGTATGTGTGTTCGTTGTTGATTCTTTTCTTTACACAATAACTATTTTTAAAAGTCTAAATTTCACCCACACACACAAAATCTTTAAGAAATGCAAAAAAAAAAAATTCAAAACTGTTTTGCCAAATGTGAATGTTTTAACATCCTTACCCTATGAGCATGAGCATTAAAATTGTGCACCCAAACACTACAACATATCAACACAAACTCAATCGTAGTAACCATTTTTAGTAACGTTTATTACAGAGCTCTTCAATTCGCCATGTCAGCTCCGCTAACAAACTTAGCAACACAAACAAACAAACAAACAAAAAAAGAAAGAAACAAACAGACAAAACATACATACAGCGCGCGTTCTCCTTCACACCCTGGGGGTTATGTTAATCAGGTGCAGTCAAGGAGATGGTGTGTTGTCTCTGTGTCAGATGATTCAAGATATGTAGATACACTATACAATTTTAAAGCACCTAAACTGTTACTTTCACCCTCAAGTCAAAAACATACATAGTTAAGCAAACAGTGTGTAACGTTCAATGTTTATAGTAAACAAAGTGTTGATTGACCACCGTTAACGTGTCTTTGCAGAAATTCTTTTGCTGCGCTCTGAACACTACCTCTCAGCTAAGTGCTTGATTTTAATATATATATATTTAAATTTTATTCTGTTTTTTTTTCTGTTGTTTGTTTACTGACGAAGGCTTCCTGGCGACACGTTCGTTGTTTTGTTCAAATCTGAAAAGGGGAACGCAACCTTCCTTTGTTTCATTCATTTCCTCTTTACACAAATCAACATTCCACTGAAAGGCACCATCATTTGTTTTTGTTTTTTCGACCCTAAGATTTCAATATTCATACCTTAGAAACTGACAACAGAACTAAAATTGCCTTCCTTGTGTGTGCCGCTGTGAGGATACGGGGCCACCCACCCCATCCTTCCCATGATGTAAACAGGCCCCCCGCTACTGCCCGCGCACGTGCTCGTCCCGTAAATAAAGGCATTTTCGAAGTCACTACTTGACCTCGACTCATCCATCCTTATCCACTCGCCAACGCTGACCTGTTTCGGGGCCCCGTGTGGGTGTGATACAACGACCGCAAGCTTTTTGTCCGGGACCGCCCTCCCTTCAAATTTCTCCTTTATCTTAAAACAGCTGTCGTAATAGCTATTCAAATGACCCCCGAGACTTCCAGCGAGCGCAGCATCTTCGGTTAGGAATTCAATTTCAGAGAAATCTTCGCACACTTCTGAACGCAGACGCTTGCCGGTTAAGATGGTCGTAGAGCTACGCTCTGAATCGTACCCGACGATGCCCTTCACGCTGTCCATTTCGAATTCGTCAAACACCACGTGAGCAGCGGTACGCACGCGGACATTCCACACGTGTTCGACTGTTGTCGCGGTCTTACAAATATCAGATTCTTTGAAAACATTTGCCACCCTTCCACTGCCACTGGAGGCAATGTTGATGAATCCTTTATATTTGGATAACGGGTACGGGATGCGGGTGTTGTTATAGTGATCTGGCCTGGCCGGGCTGACGGCGTTCGTCAACAGTTTAACTGTGAGGCCAGAGAGAGATTTGATCATCTGAAGGACGTCCTCGTCCTGGTATTTAATGGGGAGATGGTCCATCTTGAAATCGTCCACAGGGATGAATTTGGTGTGGCCCGGGTTTTTGGTGCAGCGTTTGAGCTGTTCTTGCAGGCCGGATTCTCCCTCGAGACTCACTTCAATTTCATGACTTCCTTAATGAAAAGAAGAAAAAAAAACAGAGAGAGAGGATGAAAGTTTATTTATTACTAGTTACATCCCGCCAAACAATGACAACGGCAATGCGTGAACACCCCATCTACTAATGTTGCTTGACAAAATATGAACTCAAAGTAACGCACATTTAAGAATCCCAACTTTTGCCGCACCCCTTTCCTCCAAGATACGTCACTGCACACTTTTTATTTCACGTCCATGAACTATATTAATAATCTGATGTACTAAACCACTTTTTAAACGGAATATTTATTACAAGATAATAATTGATGGGCTGTATTCAAGTTGTGTAAATGAAATATAAGAACAATGTATGCTAAACTTGAATTCATAGACAGGTATGAATTTTGAAGAAAAAAAACTCTCTTACAAGTTTCACAATTTCCTAGTATTTCTTATTTTTTTCTTATTCCTTAGATTTTATGTATCCTTAAGTATTTTGTTCCGTTAAGATTCTCTACCTTCTTTTTTTCACGGTACCACCTTTTATATTCTCTCCTTCCTGTAATTCTACTTCCTGCAAGAAAATGAAAATTTCTAAAAAAAAATTATCCGTTACTTGTTCTACTTCTATTTATTTTGTTTGCTGATGAAGGCTCTAAGCCCAAACGTCCAAATCTTTTTGCCCTGTCTATGAATTCAAGTTTAGCAAACCTCGTTCTTATATGTATTACACCATATTTAAATTGAGACGATTTCATTTCCCGAAAATGAAAGAGAAAATTACGCACCAAACGCAGTTGCGTTATTTACTAAGATTGATATCATTTAGCGTAGTTATCGGGAATTATATTTTGAATGCTATCCGGAAATTGAAGCCGTCACACTACCAGCAAATTTTATGTAAGAGATAGTTTTTTTTTTTTTTTATTAAAGCATAAATTGGGCTAAATTTGACCCATGATGCTTGTTAGCATGTTTTTAATTCATTTTAAATGCAGTTCATCCCGAGGCCCGTGGACTTCATGGCAAACATCACACACTTTTTCGTTGAATTATTTTTTTCTCTGTAGTGTTTCAAGGTTGATTAGAAATTTCAAGAAAATAAACAATTTGACAGTGTTTCCATTTCATGTTCCCAGCATTGCCATCAAACCAAAAAAAACGGTTCTCCCGCTTTCGTAATCTTTCTTTGTTTCGTTTGCAGTCGTTTCACTGGAGTCAGTGGCGTAACTAGGGTTAGAGCCATCTGTGGTGGGCCATGAATTTAGCCACACCCCCCCCCCCCCAAAACAAAAAAAACAACACCTTCCCCCTGTGGGGCGCATCGATCCCCCCCCACCCATACCCTTCCACGTCATTTAATTGTAATGGTGTCTCCTAAAGACTGTATGGTGTCTTTTTTTTTAATATTGGCAATAAAAAGCACCTTTATGTAAGGTTATCGTTTGTAACATGAAATATACCTTAATGTCCGCAAGTTGGCGGGAGATTTCTGATCAGCATATGGAGTCATGTCAACAAGAGAGGGTGCAATATTATTTTTTATTATTTTTTTTTCAAAGAAAGGAATCTCTTGCTTTCGAAATGTGTTGTTGTGGAACGAAATTATGGATCTGAATATGGCGGTGCGTTTAATAATCCATGGTTCTTTTTTTTTTATATTGAGTTTGGCATGTGGCATTCTCTGGAGCCCGACAAGACTGATCAAAAAATCACATTCGCTTTCTGTTCATATGACTAACTTCGGCCAACTGTTCGGAAAATATGAATATTGAAAAGTAAGACCTGAAAATATGAATATTAAATATGTTTATAAATATGCCCGGTGGCACTTGTTACTTCAGATTTTCGGCCAACTCTAGAGATGTTGTTTTTTTTGTTGTTTTTTTCGGTGGAAGGGGACGTCAAGAAGCTTTGGCCACTCCGGTTGGCACTAACGCCTGGCTCTTTGTGCATTTTATTTAAACAGATTGACATTCGTAGTGAAATAATTAAATTGAAATATAGAAGTAACAACAACAAAGGTATAGAAAGAAAATAGAAAGAATGTGGGAAGGAGAGAGATCGAGTGGGCTAGGAGGGAAAAGAAATGGGGTAAAACAAAACAAAAGAAAGAGAGAGCGAGTGAGAGAGAAAAGTTGGGGGGGGGGGACAATAATTAAAGTTTACCATAATTTTCGTTGTTAAGATCGTCACTGGCGTAGTACTTGAAGTCTGCCATCTTTGCTGTCGTTGTTTACTAATCTAGTTCATAGAGGAGCTTAACTTTCTCTAAATTAGGCAGGCGGCAGCGCTGTCAGATAGCATAAAAAATGTGCTTAACGGAATTTTTTTTTTTTGTTAAAGAAATTTCGTCGACGGAAAATTGATCGACGGAAGGTTGGTATTTTTAATTTTTTTTTTACAGTTCGCACGATCAAATTTTCGTCAAATTTCTTTTTGAACGCCCTATACTATATAGTAAACAAAAAGTAATGCATTCAAAAAAGAAATTTGAGGCAAAATTTGAGCGTGTTAACTAAATATTATATATAAATAAATCTAAGTAAAAAAAAATACGTCCAAGTTCTTGTACAGTAACTGGGGTTTTTTTAAGCATCAAAAAAAAAAAAAAAAAAAGAAAAGGAAAAAAAAAAAAGTCCAAGTTCTTATAAAGTAACTGGGGTTTTTTTAAGCATAAAAAAAAAAAAAAAAAAAGCAAAGGCAGAAAGAAATGACGTTTTTTTTTTCCCCCTGGGGTTTGTTCACAGCCGACTGCGTATAACTCTCAGGGTTAAACGCAGTCGGCTGGGAATTTAGCCAAATCAGGTTTATTATCGCTTGTTGGGCAATTTTAAAAAAAAAGTACTATGCGTAATGAGCTGCATGATGGGTTGTTTTGAACTGGAACTTTGAATGTGTTGAACGTAAAATTTTAATTGAATTAATTTTAATTAATATTGAAATTGATGATAGTATTGATAGTGATAGCAATAGTATTAGTATTAGTGCTAGTGCTATTATAAGTATATTATAATTATAAGTATAAGTCAAAGTCTACATTTTCTTAGAGTCTAAGCCTAAGTCTTAGATTTTTTTAAAGGCATTTCCATGGTCTAAGTCTAGTCATGTATTTTGATTGATTAGGTTTTTATATGTTGCTATGACTATGTGGTTGGTTTTACTGACTAATTCAGGAAATACATTCTATTTATCTTTTTTTAAATTTTATCATTTATGATTTTATTTATTTTTTTTTAAATTTTATTATTTATGATTTTTTTTTTTTTTGATGACCTAAATGTAACAGTTTTCAGCTTCCATGCAAAACTATAACTGTGTGAAAGTGAAAGTATTACTTACACTGACCCCTCTACAGAACCCCCTGCCCTACTTACAGTGTCCCCTCTACAGAACCCCCTGCCCCTACAGCGATTTTTTTCCTGCTACTCTCAACCCATGATTATTTTTATTACTGTACCAGTGAAAACATGATTTTATCTGCCACAAAATTAGTTAACAACACAAACATATCTTTGATAATTATAAGTATAACATTGATAACATTACATTGGTCAAGTTAATAATTCTTCTCATGTTTTAACATTTTTTAGCCAAAAAAAAACGTAAAACAATAAGCCCAGTTGATGCTTCATTCTCGAGAAAAAAGCATAGAAACTAACGCGTATTCATGGCTTGCCGTGGACTGGTATTGAGCTCCAGACCATCAACCCGAGGTTTGGTCAAGTTAGACCATTCGACCACCCAGTCACACCGATATCAAAGCACCTTTATTGATTGATACTGTAACACAGGAAGACTATAGACCTCACGTGACTTGCCGACTGCGTCTAACTCTCAGGGTCATACGCGGTCGGCTGCGCATAGACCACTTCGTTCACATTAACTGCGAACGTGTAAACAATGTTAGTCTTTCAAGAAATGCAACCGATATGAAACAGTAAGATTGTTCATGAAATAAATGCCGTCTCCTAACTCTCTACAAAGCACGCATTTACTAAAACATACGTTGGGCCTAGTCATCATTACTTATCATTTTCGTCATGGGCTAATCAAGGAGCCATCACTGGCAACACACACATCGGTAGGATTGAGATTGATGATGTGTCTTAGAATAAATATGTTCCGAATTTCAGCTACCATGACAAGCGGAGCACTGTTGGCAACTGTGTCTCAGATGATAGACACAGTGACTCACTCACGGGGGTGGCGGGGGTGGGGTGGGGGGGAGGGGGCATCGTTCAGTTTCTAAACAAGCAAATTGTGATTACCTTTCACTTTCACTCTACTACCAGCATGATAAGTAAGTCGCTAACTCTATCAGCAGTTGCTACTGCACTTCACTGTGCATTACTGACATATTTTTCATATTATATTTATTGATTACATTTTAAAAAAAAATTAAAAAGGGGAATTAATTTATCGTGTCCTTTCTTTTTCTGTTAAAATTATTTTAACCCATTATCATTATGCATGCACACACTCCTAGCCATACCGTTCAGACGAGATGTAAACAGCTTGGACCAGATGGTCGTCTGGTATGTGTCATGTCTGGTGAATGTATGTAGAGAATCTTAAATGATATATTTTCACATTACGCAAAGTAGTTTGTTTAGCAGCTATCACACAATCACACATCAAACACTGACCTAGTGACGTCTGGGTGAAGCCCTGACACTTTCTATAGGGCATCCTCCACTCACAATGGCTGCCGTGTTCCTGCTCTGACCTACTTACTACTGTGTTTATTATGAGTTTATTTATAGCCGGCACCGGTGTGTGTTGCATCAATGCAACTTATAAACGTGCTAAAAGCCTAACATAATTTTAATAATTGAAACTTAGATCTACGGTTAAAACCGGGACAAGTGGCGTACCTAAAGGGAGTCGAAGGGAACGACCGCTCCAGAAAAAAGGTTGGGGGAGGGGGGCACTTTTTGTAAACATTGAATGATAATAGACATCCTATATAAGTGGTGTATGTAGAGTCCACTTCTGGATTCATTTGGTCAAGGTACGGAGCAGGGTATCGCGCAAGTCTGAAAAGACCAGTCGCATGTGTTTGTTATTTTAATTAATTTTTTTTTTTTGGGGGGGGGGGGGGGGGGGTAAAAAAAAACTCTGGAAAGCTTAGTAATGATAAATGTATTATTCATAACGATAAAAAGATCACTGCCTGTAGTTCTAGCGTTAAATTCTATCTTATCTGTGGGAAAATGGGGTGTTCACTGGCGTTTCTGGAAATTTCCTCGAAGAAATTTCGTCGACGGAAAATTGATCGACGGAAGTTTGGTCGAACGGAAATTCGCTCGACCGGAAGTTTGGTCGAACGGAATTTTGATCCAACGGAAGTTTGGTCGAACGAAATTTTAATCGAACGGAAGTTTGGTCGAACGAAAATTTGATGGAAAGGAAGCTTGGTCGAACGGAAATTTGATCGAACGGAGATTTGATCGAACGGAAGTTAAGTCGAACAGAAGTTTGGTCAAACGAAAATTTGATCGAACGGAATTTGGTCGAACGGAAATTTTGTCGCTTTTTTTAAGTATAAGGGGTGCCAGGGAGAATTGTGGATAGTGCAATTTGTTCGAATGTTACTATGTTCGAGTGACATTTTGTTCGATTCTTCCCTTTTTATTTTTTTGTAAAGAAATTTTATGTTTAAGACTTGCGAGTGAGAATTATGAAGATCTGTTCGAAAGAATGTGTGTACGAAAGGAATTTTGTTCAAACTGAAAAATACGAAACAGTAACTATTTAATAATTGAGAAATTTGCGTATCGAGTGAACATTTAAATAGCACCATTAAAACTTTTTTTTTTTTAAATGTATTCTTTCGATCAGTTTTTCTATCTCAATCTTTGCCACGTTTTTTAAAAGATTCTTAGAAAATCGGATAACCTTATTTAAATGTGTGACGTGGGACAACACTGATTTCTAACAACAAAAGCTCTATTTTTTTTTTTTTTTTTTTTTTTTTTCGATAATTTGGGGCATCAAACCGATGATTAGTCCTTGAATAATAGATATCAAGTAGTCAAAATGGCATCCTTGTCAGGGGTTAACTTTGTTACAAGCACAAAAAATAAAATAAAACTTGTAGTTGATGGCTACATGTACCTGAAAGAAAAGCAGCGTAACGATCAAATCGATTGGAAGTGCGAAAACTTCAAACAACGTTCAAACCCACGTCGAATGGTAACTGTCTTAACAACGTTATTATTACCAAACAAAGCAACGAGCACAGCCATGCAGCCGATAGCTCCAAGGTTGAAGTTAATGTAGTTATGAACCAGAGTAAAAGAGACGCTATAACCACATGCGACTCTCCGCATTATACTATATCGGATGCTTCATTGAATTCAACCCCAGCCACGAAAGGTCAACTCCCTTCAGTTAAAGGTATGAAAATAAAAATATGAAATCATAGAATAAAATACACTCGGGGCCCGGCTATTCCTACTCATAGGAGGGACATCAGATTCATTAGTGAATATATTTCTACAGAGAATGGTGAAGTCTTTTTACTGTTTGATACTGGGCCGGTAGATGACAGAATTTTGATATTTTCAAACAGGAATAATCTACGTTTACTTTCAAGCTAAAAAAACTGGTATGCAGATGGTACATTTAAAACGGTACCACCTTTATATGAACAAGTGTATATAATGCATGGTTTATGTGAACATCCTGCTGTTCCATTAGAGGGCATAAACAAAACTGTACAAAGTTATATAGGCCTAAAACTTTTAAGAGCTATCAAAGACTTGGAGTCAACTTGTAATCCTCATACTTTTTCTCATAGACTTTAAGCTTGAAATGGTACTAACTATAAATGTTGAGGTCCCTCAAAAAATTATTCGAGGATACTTTTTTTCACTTCTGCTAGTTTATCTATAGAAATTTGCAAACAAATGGCTTAAAGCTAAATTACAACTGTGACCCCGACTTTGCATTAAGGATACGAATGTTACCTGTATAAGCATTTGTGCCTATACAACATGTAGTAGAGTATTTTGAGTTACTTTGCAGCAGAAATATTTTACCCCCTGAAGCTCAAGTAGTTGTTGACTATTTTGAGGACACGTGGATCAGTCGACCTAATCATAATCACCGTCGACCTTCATATGCGTAATTGCTTTCCTGCTAGTCAACAAGGTTTGCCGAAAACCAACAAAGCTCTTGAAGTTTGGCACAGGGGGTTTCAGAACCAAGTTTGCGCTGACCAGCCCAACATTTGGAAATTTATAAAAGCTATCAAACGTGAACAAAGTTTGAACGAACTTCGTACTGAACAATACATCAGTGGTCAAGAGCCTCCTCCAGGAAGTAGACAATATAAAGATTCAGCAAAAAAGACTTTTTCGCATTGTCAATCCTTTTGAACCCAATATTCAGGCTGAGGACTATTTACGACGAATAGCATATAATATTGCCTACTAAAAGTTTACATGAAATTAAATGAACCAACAATCTCCATGGAACTGATTTATTATATGTATATATCATATATAACTGCATAGGACTTTATTTTTGGATATGATATTGTAACCTTTTTTTCTGATATTGATAAATGAGTTTTTCATCTTGCTGATATGTCTCAATTGATATTTTGCAAAATGGTGTTAATTTTGTAATTTAAAATTTTTAAGAAACAGTCTTTGTGACAAACTTTAAAAAATGAGTTTGTTTAAGTTCAATGTATTACTGATTGTATGTGAGAGATTTGAAAATTCCAGCTGTAATCATCTTGCAAGATATAAGACATATTTATTATTCAATCTAACACTACAGTCAAGTAAAATTTGTGCTGTTAGGTACTGTTTATAACTTCCCTTTAACCTTTTTAATATTGATCTCTTAGGTGGTAGGTATTTTAAATGACCCTGATTTGATTTTCAGACTTAAATCCTATTAAACATATAAAATGCGATATAAAATGAGATAAATTGAAAAATGTACACCTACTTTTTTTTAGGCAATAACAGAAAACAGTTATGTACTAGCAAAACAACACAAGAAAAAAAGAGACAAACATATTTTAAAAACCACTTTCCATTAATTTTGGTAAGTCAGGAATGAGGAAGGGCTGGTAGACAAAATCTTGAAAAAATGTTAATTAGTAATCAGCAATCATCAGCTAAACTTTCACTTCTTCGCAGAATCTTCTTTTTGGTGGCAATTCTAAAAAAAAGGATAAAATGAAAAAGTTATATTGTTTAATGTCCAAGTTAATAATGATTGAAGATTAACATTATTTATGCCTACCATAAATATCAATTTATAAATATTGCTTTGTATATTATATAACTGTGCAGGATTTTTTCCTCTTAGATACAAAGATGGGTTATATCTTACATGAAAGTTTTATTTATTATTAATAATCTATGAGTATGACTAAATTTTGACTAGAAATAATACTATAGACCAGGTGTTTCTCAAATTAAAAGAAAATATAATGATCAATCTGGCAATGATCCCTAGTGCAATTTTATACACCAATCCACCTAACTTAGCAGTTTGGCAAAATCTGCTATCTAAGACTATAGTTATAGTGTTCAGTTCATAATCATGCCAATTGTAGTACTTATGTAATTTGGCTCTTCTTCTTGAATTTATTGATTGATTGATTGGATATTTATATAGCGCTGGCATCCATGTTACTTTAGAATGTTCAGTGCGCTCTCGTCTTCTTAAATCTATTTAAACACTAAAGTTTGTAAATGTTTCTTAAATGATTTTTTCTCATATTTAATGCTCCTCAAAGATTGAGGCAAACTGTTCTATAATGTTGGCGCTATCGCTTCAAAAGAGCGCACTCCGTAAGACATCTTTCTGTGTTCATCCACTCTGGGAATTTTCAGTAAGGACTGTGTTGAAGACCGAAGGATCTTTAAACTTTAAAGGGCACATGTTTATAAATCAGTTCTTTAACTTTAAGATATTCTTTGTCTTTATCAAATAGGTCTACATGGTAATTTATAATATTAAGTCTCAAGCTACAAAAAAGTAAATTAATAATATTATAGAAACTAAGCCTGCAATATTTTTAGAATAGCTATATATTTATAATTATATTACATACTACTGAATAGTATTTACTGGTATAAATTATGAAAATAAAGTACATCATCTGTCATCTGATATTTTATAAATATTCATTCAAACACGATTTAAATGAAAAAGTTGGCCTACTTGTGGATGTTATTGAACAATGTCTTACTAACTAAAACTTCTACTAAAACTTCTAAGAAAATTTTAATTAAAATTTAATCTTACTATTCTTAGGCATGGCTTCTAAACTAAGACTAATCCTAAACATAGCCGACTGAACTGAGTGAGGATGACAGTTACATTACATTACACAGCTTCCAGACTTTTCTATGCTGGTGTTTGATTTTGAATCGATAGCTTTGTGTATTTATAACCGTAAAAAATGTATTAAAATGTGTTTATTTTTCAATGTTAAATAAATATAGTTACCTAAGCTTTATTCAGCCTGTGACTGCGTACCGACATGTGCTTCGGCATGTGTTTCCAAGGATACGTAATTATCTGGGAAGTAGTATCCGTGAGCTATTTCTTATTTTTATTTTTATACCGTTTTTTCTGTTGTTTTCCGGCCTTCTGCGGACACGTTCGTTGTTTTGTTGCGTTTATTTTTCAGGTTTAACCCTACTCTGTTTTACTCATTTTACAATGGAAAAAGGAGCATAGTCCAATGTTTATAA